AATATCTATATGGTAGTATACAGTACGTGTATGTGGTAGTTTTGCCAAATGGTATTGAAAATGATTAGTTGTCATGAAATCAGAAATGACCCTACTTAATTTTTTAGTGCACATTACTAGTCTTGTGGTGAACAATTGAACCATGCAAGTCAATACACTTGAAAAAATTGTCTGTCGTCACTTCCGCTCTGGAATGGCGTTCTCGCTCTGATGATGTCAGTTTGACGGCTTCGGGAGAATCCTCTTGTTAAGTCATGACGTAAGGACTGCTGTTACCGGGTCCATGCCTCTACTCATTTCACTTGAGAATACCATCTCAACAGCCATTTATGAGCACTATTTAATTATTATTACATATTTAAGATAAGCATTTAAAAATTTGCTGTGCACACTACAGTCTTCATGCTCACAGTGTCTCAGACACTAATATTTTAGCTGAATCACTCTCTGGCCATCTGGGATTTCAATATGGAGATAAAGGTTAGGGTTATAATTTTTCAGTATTACATGACATCGTGGGTGTATATTAGCACAGTTTGTTGTTTTCTTGTGGCATCTGGCAGAGCGTTAGGACCCAGAAGCTGTGAAGTATGATGTCAGACGTAACAAGCATATATTCATAACCACTCCTATCCAACTGTGAATCTGCTATGAGCAAGAGGTGGAGAGGAGGTGCACCACAATAAAACCCCGCCCTTTATTCAATATTCTGTTTCACTTGGAAATAAATCACAACACTGAAGTCAGTTGCAACTTCCGGTTCACGTGTACTTTGATACTGATATTTTTCAAAGTATTGAAGTTAGAAATTCCTGTATCATGACCACTAATTCACGTACTTTATCAATAACATAAAAGTGGGTTTTGTTCAAAGTAGCTATTATCCACATAGATCTTTGATATGAATATTTTTTGGTAATTCATTAAATATCGCCGGCTAAAAAGTAACTAGTAACTAGTACGCCGAGTAGTTTTTGAGAGGAGTACTTTGTACTTTTACTTAAGTACTGTTTTGACATCAGTACTTTTACTTGTAATTGAGTATTATTTCAGCAATGTAACAGTACTTGTACTTCAGCACAAATTTTCAGTACTCTTTCCACCACTGTTTAGCAGATACATTTATCTAAATGAAGAACATTAAGAAACATCACAAGCAATTTATGGTAAAACAGCCAATATTTCTCTACGTACCACAAATGGCAAGTTTTAAGTGCGAGCTTAAGTAGTACAGAGGCTGGACATTAAAATATAGGAGAGGAAAAGAAAGAATAAAAGAGATTTCTAATAGAGTTTATTTATAGGAAGTACCTTGGATTATGGTTGTGGTTTAACTTAAGTGCTCACAGAGGTTGTGTGCTTTTAGGTGTTTCTTGTGATGGTCTCAGTCGATTGGGTGGAGGTTGGAAACTCGTTCTACCACGGAGTGAAGTTTCTGGAAAGCCACTTTCACACACTCAAGTTGGGAAAGGACATTTGTGAAGGAGGGAGCTGTTTCAGTGCCAGTCTTGAAACACCAATGTTGATTCTATAAAACAACACCGGATGACCATCGAGATGTGGAAAGCTAAATATTATTTGTTTATGTTTTAAACAATACCCCCAGCTTCCTTGCTGTCCTGGTTGGCTTTAGTGTTGTAAAATCCAGATGTTGTCAACTGATGGGGTGGCTGGAATGGAGCTTTTGGGTCATCATGTGTCCAGAACTAGTATTTAAGATATTACAGTCTGTGACAATGCACAAGGAACATGAAAAAGCCATAAAGTGATATGAAAAGCAATTACAACATACATTTATAATACCATTCTTTTAAGACAGCTTTACAATAAGTGCATTTCTATAATTGTTGTTCAGTTATAGCACATATGATTTCTGTTTGTGTGTAGTATCTTGCTTTAAAGTGTGTGAATGACCATGCCTTTTCGCTTCACAAAGAGGTGAATCGAGTGATTTCGACAGTTTGTTTCACTTGAGTAAAAGGCCACTGAATACTGGCCTTGATGAATTGAACTTGATTACTACAAACAGTTATCTTCTTCTAAAAATGTATGTCAGCTTATGTGGATGCTTTATTTGGATCTTTTATTGGCTGCTCAAGAAGACAGAAAGGCAAGTGCCTTTGGAGTATGAATCGTGTTCTCCAGAACACCACTTCACCTTTGAGGCAACCCCTAAAAATATTTTCTTAGTCTTACAGTGCTCTGTGCACTCACTGACTCTACTTGGTAAATTGTGCACTTAAAGCAAATGCAATATCACAAGGCCGACACTTACTTGGATCGCAAACTCCCCCACACATTGACAGTGTCCTTTAGTATCAAGGGCAAACTGTGGTTCTTTCTGTGAAGGCCACACACTGCCACAACTGTACAGCAGCAAAAATGAAACCTTGTCTAAAGATTCTGCCTCTCTTGGTTTGAAACTTGCTCAGCTGCACCCTCACTTACGAACTCAAGATCTGGTCTACTATGCACTACTTCAAACAAATACTCTTCCCCTGCCTCAGTGCTTCTCAACTGTCGGATTAAATGCAAGAACATTGGACTCAGAGTAGCTCAGTGAAGTTCAGGGCTCTAGCTGTCGCCCATGTTGGTTAATCCAGGGCAATGTGACACCGCAGAGTGTCCCAATGTAATTGAGGAGTTGTTGCATTTGTGTAGTTTTGACTGGCTCAGCACTGCTGTTGAAAGCATAGGTCTATTGACGGTGACATAAGCCAGCAACAGTTAATTAACTTTTTCATAAAGTAATGCTCGCAGCTGGATTAGAGGACTCTCTTCAATATAAAGTTTCTCTTATTTGTTTTAGGTCACAGAGGGATTGAGCCCGAGGAGCCTTGCAGCTATGTGACTTAAACCATACTGGAGTGGATGATAGACACAAGCACACTTTCTCATTGGAAGCTTTTTCTGGACATGTCGTAATTCCATTAAAAAAAAAAAACTTGATTCTTCTCTTTCTCAATGTCAGAAAAAAAAGGCAAGCTATTACATTTGAAGGAAGGTCGAAATTTCAATTATTACAATAGGTACAGTGAATATTTCTCTCTTTTTGAAGAGAGGGTGGAAAGGACGAGATACAATAGACTTCAGCATTAATGTAACTTTTCATTCAACCATGCCAATAAGCCATATCCATTCTTAATGTAACATTTAATGTCAAATAATAATCTATGTCTGTAATATCCAATATGTCAAAATGAAAGAACAAAAATCATGCTTGACGTTTTTAGATCCATGAGGGTGCAGAGCATGCAAATACACCCTGGCTAGTGGTGACGGCACAGAAACACAGGCCACAAACAAAACATTTGCATATATTTCTTATGATACGTACTGCATCTCATGTCCAAATGTTTGTCTTACTCTGTACATACATTTGAATATGGTTCCAGGCCCTGGATTCTATCTTGTACTTGCCTTTTGTACTTGAAAATATATTGTAATTCTTTTGGAGTATTATTATTTGAATGTTTCTGACAAAAACTGGTTAGTTCGTTTATTTCTTAAAGGTCAATGAAAATAGTTCCAAAATAAGCCAAAGCAAACACACAGCAATGCACAGACTGAAGTCCGGTCTGGAGTATTTTATGTGAGTGGAATGGCGTGACAGATTTTCCCTCTCTGCCCAAAGCACCCTGTGCCCTCGATCCACTCCATGTTTTCCAGTTACTCTCCATAAGAGAAACCCTGGTCCGAGCGATCATAAGAATAGAAAAATGCAAAAGATTTAACTTTTAACTACCTGCTCCTCCTCGCTATAGGACAAAAATACACATCTCCACTTTCATTGCAAGAGAGAAAATGCCAGCGCCCCGACTTAAAAAAAAAAAGAGTGCTTCTCACTCAAGGCAAATCCGCTTCCTCTCAGCACCGCACACACTGAACAGTGACAAGCGGACTGATAAAAACAATGAAACATCCCAGTGCTGCATCCGAAACTGAAGGCAGTTGCCTGGCTGTCCAGTCATTCACTTCCCAGGCAGTGTTTTGTGTATAAAGGCATCGCTTACGGAAAATGGTTTCAGACAGGCTTCCAAAGCACCTCGTAATAGTCAAAAACAAGTGAGCTGTAGAGAAACCCAAGGTAATATTTAGTAGGTAAAGGACTTTTTCTAGGTATATGTCAGGTATAGATATGTACACACACATTCGCATTCACATATACATAACACATAAATACACTCTCAGAAACAAAAGCTGTCACCTTTTTAAAAGGTACTAATATGTACACTCTGCACTGTATACACACACACACACAGGTTTGTTTTTATGGTTTATGGGGACTCTCCATAGGCGTAATGGTTTTTAATGAATTATTAATAAGCCTTTTGAATTATGGGGACACTAAAAATGTCCTCATAAATCACCTTCTTGCTGTAATACCTATGTCATACCCATGTTATTATACAAATTGTATAATTGTGTCCTCATAAACCACATAAACATGCACACACACACACACACACACACACACACACACACACACACACACAAGTCTTATAACCAGTGAAATGATTTAATTCAATATATTAATTTTATGGTAACAATACTTTATTTCAATAAATTCATTTTATGGTAATAATGCTTTGTTTTAAACCTTTGTCATCTGACAGTTGACGAGAATTAAATGAGAATTTTTTTCATTGTTTCAAATCATAGATAAAGTTTAGGTATGTCAAATTGTTTTTCCTAAATAGCTTGAAAAATGTATGTTCTTCGACCCACATCTCAAGAACACAGAATCATCTTGACGAGGTTTTAATTTGGTCCCTCTCTGCACGTTTTTGCCCCTCGGTGCCCTCCCTATAATCCTACAATCGCCGCGGCACCTTGGATACGCTGACTGACATCGGCACCTCCCCTCAGTGCATCGTTTCCCTGATGAGCTATGCTCCTGTAGCACACTAACAGAGTCTTGTCCATTTTGTCAGCCACTTTCACTAGAGACAATAAGTTGCGCGTAACCACTGTTTTCCCAGAGTTTGTGGGGACTGAGGCTCCCGAGGCATGCTTCACGGATGGCCGACAGTGTTGTGGTCCCTTTGTGAGTCTCTCCACAGTGCTCTCCCCTGGCGGAGGTTCGTTGCAGCTGTGGCTTCTCAATAGGGCTTATTGTAGACGCGCGGAGTGTGAGCGAGCAGCGCAGTGATTGAGCGGAACGGAGGGAAAGACGCCTGTAGTGCAGGGATGCTCCTGTTTCCTTCACTCACTCGGGGAGAGCGCGTCAAGAGCGGCTGCGACGTGACGGAATCCTTCTGCATTTTCACAAGAACGTTCACAATTTATAAACACGCGAAGGACCAGGAGGAAAAGGTGAGTGATTTATGCAGTGTTTGCTGAGGTGCAATAACGTACGGAATGAGTGTAGGCGATTTGCGGTGCACGTTTACATATTAGGAAGCTACAAAATCATATTCTAGCAATCTAAGAGTTGAGAAATGGCAGTAGGCTATTGTGATATTATTTATTTTTATGTATTTTAGATTTTTCAGAAATTATAATTTTAATATAATGTAGCCTACTTGCGTTAAAGTATGTCATACGATACAAGGGAAAGATAAATATGAAATAAAAGAAAAATAATAAAATTGAATATAAAGTTAATAAACATATTCACCTGCTATGCACTTTCAGATATTGTCGAACCGTGTGGTCAGCATTAAGATTTTTAGGAGCCGCTCTGAAAGTTTCTCTCACTGCCTGTGATGTTTAAATATTCAGTGTTTTTCCCTCAGGAGCATCTTTGATGTTCAAAAGTTAAGGTCTGGCAGTCAGCATATTAATCGAGTTGCTACGAAGTACAATTTCTCAGTCCTAAGAGCAATGCTTGGGACCTTGCCAGGGACTCGCATTTGTGATGCAAATACTGTCGTCTGTAGTGTGACTGTGAAAGACTTTTTGATGTGAAAATACCTCAGTGAGAGTAAGAGGTTTTTGTTTTTTTGTGTATAGTAGCCTAGTGTTATACCAAAACAAGTGCGGATATCACAGGTACAGAGGTGCAGATTTTCCTCACACCTCCGTATCGATATCAAATACCTCCCTGTCAGGACGCCACTGCAATGCCAACAACAGCACTGAAGCTCCTAGTAGAAACTTCGCTTGCAATGAGACGCGAGCGGCCGCTAGGTGGCGCTTTGAGTGAACTGTGAGGGCCAACTTGATGTGGCTCAATGATCCAAAAATTAATTGTGGTTTTAGGTGTGTGTGTTTTTCAATGTGAAGTGATTTTCAGTATTATTTGTAGAATATGTTTAGTTCTTGTGTTGTTGCTTAATTGTTACTGTTGCTTATTTCCTGATTTAACATCTGGTTGGAGCCTATTTGCACTTCAGTTTGTGCCCATACATAAACAGGGCTGTTGTCAGGGAGGGATGACCAAGAATGTTGTCCTGTAATATGGAGGTCCTAGTAAGATTTTATATGGTGTAGACTATGGCTGTCTTGTTGTTTTTGGGCCCCAAGGAAATATATGAAAATGGGACCCACTGTAAAAATACAGTGTAAAAATAAAGTAAAAATAGTAGTTTTAGATATGAGATTGATGCAGTTTTGCCAAGTCATGTTGTCACTGAAAAAAAAATTGGTGTAGAATTTTAATTTAGAAATTACTAGTAAATTTCACAATTAATTATAAAGAGACAACAAGTAAAACATTAAATTAAACATGGAATTTTGAAGTAGAAAGACTAAAACAGTATTTATTGTCAAATGTACTTCAGTAATCTTTGTTTTATTTTCAACTTTAAAAAAAATATTCCGGATAAGAAGTACAATAGGCCCACCCATAAACATTTTGTCCCAGGCCTTTCGAATTTAAGTGACAGATTTGTGCGTAAACAAAGAACTTATTACAAAAATATTATATGAACAGGGATTTTTTGGTGAAGCGTGTAGTGAAACTTTGTAAGAAAATTGTCTTTTAATATATTATAAATGTATTCTTTATTAGAATTGTTTATCTTTCATGCTCATAAGCAGTCATTTCCAGCCCAGATCCTTGCGTAATCTTGTCGTAGTCACCCTCAAGAGTCTGCACAGCGAAGGGCAGCCATAATAAGAAGGCCATATGCTACCAGTCCGCACTGTGCTGTGTTTGATGTCCAGATGCCAGGAGCCTTGCCTTGCTCTGTGTTGGAGCATACTGTCCCTGGTGAGTGCCACAATCGCTCTTGCACTGCAGGGGGGCTATGACTAAAGAGCGTGTTGAGATGGGTTTTTGGAGCTGAATCTCTGGCTGTGGCTGTGGGCGCTCTCTCACAGGGCGGTCTGCGCTGAAGCCTCAGCTCCTCTCGTCAGATGGCATGGGGGGCTAATGAGACTTCATCATCCTGTCCCAGACCATTTGGGCGATCTGTGCTGAACACAAAGTCCGGGGCCTCAGCCAAGCCCGACAGTGAGCAGATTCGGGCGGGGGATAATGTTAGTGGGGGGCTGGAAAGAGAAGAGGAACAAATATAGTACACTGATAGCATGGCATATAGCTACCATGTAATGAACAGTAAATCGGTTTTTAGACATGATCCATTGTTTGACTACTGTAAAATAATTGGTGAAAAATCGAATGAAACCATAAAGGGTTTGTGAAGGATCCCAATGCAAAACACACACAGATTTGAATGATTAACAGTCAAGTCAAATTTTTTTATATAGTGCCAATACAGATTGTTTCAAAGCAGCTTCACATTAATAAACAGGACAATAACAGTATTAATGTTGCAAAATTCATAGATTATGAAACAAATTCAATTTTAGCTGTAAAGGAGCTCTACAGAAGATGATAGAGTGCAACTGTCAGATTTCAGAAGTAAAAACTCCATTCGTGTTCTCCATAGGGAAACAGATTTTGAATAATAAACTTTGAAGACAGACCTTTTGTGAGCTCCAAGGTGGTTAAAGCTGCATTCCATAACTATCTTGGTTAAAAATGATCTAAAATCAATTATTGAGCAAGTACAGTACATAACTAGTGTTCAAAGCTATCTCCTTACCTTAGCCTGGTTCACAACGGTAAGCTTGTAATAATGTTACCTAATTTGAGTGGTTGAAGTCATTAATCTTTCTTTTATTACATCACGTCTGTATACAGAAGAAGGAGTCCTGGCTAGCAGCTTGTAGCCTCTTTTGGAATAATTACACTTGTCATTTTAGAACAACTTCTAAAGAACATTCAATTGTTTTTAAGGTCAAAAGAACCATTTCTTTTGATGACATTCAAATGATATGACAGTTAGAGATTAGACTGTATAGAAATTGAAATATATATAGTTCAGTCATGAAACTCTAGATGGCACATTCTGATAGGGTGTTAACATAACTGATGATATTCAGAGAGTTAAACGACTTGGCACAAGCTGATTAGTTCATGCTGCATATGCAGCCAATGAGCTTACTGCCTTGCATTTATATGGCTGGCTAGCATTCACTTGAGATTCCTGCAGCGCACTTTCAGAGTTCTCTGAAACCCTCCACCTTCCCCAGCTCCACCTGTATAGATCTGCTGTGGGGTTATTTTATATGCTCTTTGTGCAGCAGCAGTATGTCTTAAATACTCATGGCACCGTATCGAGAGTTGTCATGATTGAACTACAGATAACAATGCACACTAAATACACAGAGTCACGCAATGTTGGTGTTGTTAACAACAACAATTTGAGAACAAAGTATAACAGTAATAATATTTTGCACAATTTGACGTGATCTGAGCTAACTTTGCGATTTAATCACCATTGGTAGTGCGATTTATTGTAAAACTTTTTTTTCTTCAGTTCGTCAGTACAAAACTGCCAGACATGTTACTTACTTGTCCAGATGACGTTTTCTCGTGAAACTTCTTATTTTGGACATACTGCCAAGACGTAGTATCTGTAATTCCGAAGTACAGTGAATATCCACACTGGTGCATTGACTGACAGCCCACATATACACCTCAAAACATTCAATTAATCCGCACTGAGGAGCTGTGCCAATGCACAACCCACGTAAAGAAGATAATTCAGCAAATAACTGCAATTGCAGGTTTCAAACAGAGATAACGACAAACAGGCAAAAAAAAAATTCTTATAATTTAAATAGGGCTGTCAAGTTATTGATTGTTTAAAAAAAAAAAATCTAATTAATTACATAATGTGCCAATTAATTAATCAAAATAATCTCAAATTAATAAGATTAATTAATTAACATGCACATCATGCGCCGATTAATTAAAGATAAAGTTGTTATTAAAGATAATAGTTATTTAGATAATTTTTATAAAAAAACACTGCATAGACATTACAAAAAAGTATAGCTTTAGAAAGAAATATAAGTAGCTTTAGAAATAAATATTCTCCCCCCCCCCCAATTCGCACCCTGGCTATAATGGCTATAATATGCTTTTGTGGAAACCATCTGTTTGAACAAAATTCATGGCGACAAACTACATTTCCCATATTTCCCATGAGAAAATCGGACGGTTGTGAAGGAAATTGTGCCAAAAGAGCTCTGCAGGGAACACCCACTCCCATGAAGCACCATAAATGTCCTAATTGATCTCCCAAAATACTTAAACATTTGTATGTATGCATATTTAACAATAATCTTCAAATGTATTGTTTCTATAGATGCGATCAGCAACTTTAAATGAATCGTTTTATATTTCTCCATTCTTTTTAATTTGATTGTCATTCGCAGTGCTTCATAGGATTGTAGTTTTTCCATCACTAAAGCTGTTAAGTACGTTAAGTACACTCTTTGTATTTTTATATGGTTTTCAAATACTTTTTTGTGTCAAATAAAAGTCTATAATGTCTATAATGTGTTAGCTGGTTAGCTTGGTTAATAGACTCTATGGAAAAAATTAATGGGAAAAATACAAATCAGAACAAATGCTGCTGAAAAGTGGGTAGGCAGTAATGCACTCTATAGTGCATCAATTCATCAGTTATAAATTGAGTTAAATTCAGCTATTACCAACTCTACAGAAGGCAATAGTGTCATTATACAGCTCAAGTCAGTTCAATGTTGATTCAATTCAGTTCACTAACCGTGTCATTGTTGCAAAGGATCTGACACTGTGACATACTGCCCTCACATTAATTTCTGAAAAATCAGATGGTATTTCTTTGTGTGTTATGTTGTAACTTCCTATATATTTTTTCCTTATAGTCTGGAACCTAAGCAATTTGGGCACATTTGAAAAATGCTATGTCATGCAAACATGTCCTGAGATATTGCTTCAGATGCATCGCATTAAAAAAATCCCAGGGCTTGTTTCCTATGTCCTTGCTTGACGAGTTTTAATGCAAGCTTGATAAATGATCCATATCACCTTC